TTTATTGTAGCAAATAAATATAAATAAACATCAAATAAAAATTATTCAATATTTATTTCACCCCCCTGTATCTTGATATATTAGAACAGATAACCTCAGAAAAAACGCGTGAATCTATATATGATCTTTGACAAAATTAGACTGTGCATTTCTTTTATTTTGTTAACTCGTACTAAATTTAAAATAGTTAACTTTTTCCTAATTATGTAGTCAACAAAAAACGTACTCAGAATAACTTCTTCAATTACTGTTTACAAATGCGTGAAAAACATGCTGAAGTAAATTATATTTGATATCGCATTACTAATAAAGCCTCCTAATGAGTTTACGGATTTGATTATAGTGAAAAGTACAAACTATTTTCCATAGTGCCGCATGTAATGCTATATCTGCTAATGTGGAGAAGGTGGAAAAAAATGTTATCTTGAGAACAAAATCTGATATAAACAATGACAGCGGTAGCTTTCAAAATTCTATTGTTGTTTCAAAGGTTAGTATTATTTTTTTTGTTAGTGCGTAATGTTTGTATTCAAAAGCAATATGCTACAATAAATCGAAATACAAATGAAGGATGAAACTGGAGCCTTCACTCCTGCTAACGGTGACAATGATTTGAAAGAAAGAGAGAGGACAATGAATCGAATGAAGAATTAGCATCATTATTTAATGAATTTAATGAAGACGCCCTTTTGGAAAACATTAATAAAAAAACACTAGAAAAGGAAAAGCAACTACCCTCAATTAATGATAGATCCTCAAAGGTAAATCCTAGTATTAATAATGGTGAACATATATTCAGCAAACTAATTATATCTTAACAGGATCCACTATATATGTGTGAAAATGTAATCAGATCTTTCGGTAAATATCAGAATTGTATTCCTAAAATCTGTAGAATCATCATGTAAGTTTGGAATTATCTTATTATAGTTTTAGTAATGGCCTGACTATTGATACATTCTACTATCTAACAGCCCTACTTACTGGAGTATTAGATTTGACTGGAGAAAGCCTGTACGATTGTAAATAGTTCACTGCAGAGAACATATTGCAATTGTCGCAGGATTTTGCCAATAAGATTAAATAGAAAACAAAGCCTGCAGAAAAAAATATCATAGATTATTTTGATAATGAATGTACGAAAAATGTATATAGTATTGAAAAATTGGACGTAAACATCCAATTTATATACGTATAAGCTTTCTTTGCTTCTTTGGTTATATTTTGCCATTCGGTTATAGTATTAATTCTCGACTGCCAATATAGGAAAAGTGATATGCATACCTTTCAAAACATGATGACAAAGGAAGAATTGAAAATGTGCTCGACTTTTCCCATTATTTCGCGGAGTTTTTACCTCTGATCATATTAAAAATGTTTAGTAGGTTATTTATTTACATTTGTTTTTTTGATTGATATTTAGAATTAATATTAGCTATTCTCTATATATAAGAGGAGAAGTCCAGGCTTTACCTACTAATAACGCACGCAATGAGAAAGGAAGTCCTTTTAAAAGAACGCGAGTAAGCAGGCGAGTCGATATGAAAAGTACTTTAGTTAAGACAGCCAATAAATTTGAAGTTATATACGGAGAAGTTGCAGGGGGATTAGGACTTCTTGGTATACAAACTGCTTGCCGTAAGAAGAGATACCTTGATATACTAAAGCTAATGATAGTTATACGTGACGGTATCAACCGTTTGCTAAGAGAATGCAAACATGTACCAAATGACAAACGTACAAGTGTAATCATATACGGTTAGCTCCAAGTTGGTAAGTCTTGTAAGATGCACCACTATTAAACTTATTCAGGTTAAACATTCTAGTTAATTTTATTATATGCGTAGGACTTGAACTCAATTTTTATGCAATGGACTGGTGTGGAGCTGGAATATATAGATTTGGAATGGTCGACCATTGCAGATTACCATCAGACGATAGTGACTGCGGAATTCTTGAGGATGCATACTGTATCTTCAAATTACTTGAAGTAAGTAGCACTGACTGCTCTTTGTTTATGATAGTTATTACAAATATTTATTTTATTGATCCATGTAGGAAAGATCACTTGAGACGGAAAAAGTAGTTAAAAAGTTTTTTTAGAAAACACAGAGAAAGCGACGGCATCTTGCACCTGAAAATGAAGCGAAGTTAACTGAAACTCGCATCCTAAAAAATAAATAAGTTAAGGAATAATATGACGTGCTTAAGGATTTTTTTCAGGAGATATACCTTAACTACCAAATGACATTATAAAAAATCTTCAAGGCGATTTTACAAGAATTTCTAATCTATTTTTAGCATATTGAATTCTCTTTTCTGTTGACAAATTCTTTCATAGTATTAGCTAAATATATATTTGCTTATTTTATGCAATGCTATATTCAAATTTGCAAAGGCTTATTGGTGAAAATTTGTGCATGGTGTACTCAAGATATATTTATCATTATATTATAAAAATAAAGTGCCATTTCTTTGAAAAATTTTAAACTAAATATCAGTAATATTGTACAGAAGTACTATTTGAAAAAGTTAGTGCCGATACAATTATTGTGCATTTAAGATTTCCCTTATATATGTAATACACTTAAAGTTTTATCCAAGTTATTATTTCTAAGAAATGATATAGCAGAGAAAATATACTTGCCTAAAAGTACCCATTTCTCTCCAGCGGAGTTAATAACTTATTTTAACAATGAAGGTTGCTCCATAATGACTTTGGCAACATTTCGTCTAAATTCACTTCAATCAAGACCTCCATTGAAATGAAATGATCTAACGTTATACAATTGCTTAAAAGCATCTTCACTAGTGAAGTAATTAGTATTTTCTTTATCGTTTATTTTTTCTGCAATCTCGTTTCAAAAGAGATACTTCTTTTTATTTGTAGTAGCGTGATACTCTGCATTTTTATTTTCTCATTCATCAATAAGGATGCAAAGTTGGATGTCAGAGAACTCCATAGTTGATTTTTTTATATGGTGAGAAGATTCTCTAGGTGGTAGTTGTTATAAAAAAATATTGAGTGATGTGTTAGAACCATGACAAGGTAAATTAATTAATCAATGTAATGAGTCAATAGATCAAGGGTGAAGAAATCTGATTGGTAGATCCTCGTGATTTGAGTTGCAGGAAGGTTGCGAGAAAGTGCTGGGAACCATCTAGGAGCTAAGATGATACAAATTTTTATATTATACTGCAATACCTCTAGCTAATCCCTGTTAATCACGAGAGATCTATAAATTAAAGTAACAGAAAAACGCTGGAGACTAATAAGATATTGAAAAGGAGTCTAGTGTATTGTAATACAATAATAATCAAGAATAAAAAATAATTTTTATTTACTAAAATGTAGTTTTACAAATCGATTATAGCCACAGTAGGAGAACAGTGTGTAACATAAATTAGCATATTTTCGATTTTTATTAAAGTATATATTGTTATCTTACAATATTAATAACTGAAAATTAGTATTAACGCAAGATTAACAAAGGGATTTAGCTTTTATGAAATACTTTTTAGAGAGAGCTCTGAAGGATTTACAAATAATTATTACTTTAAACAATAAGGTATATTTAGAATAAACTTTAGGATTTTATTAAGGAATAAAGAATTTGATACAATTATATTTGTTAGCATA